TCCTTGCAGCTACAAGAGTCACAACCATCAGAAAAGCCCAAAGCTGTGACTTCCTACTAGCGACTATAGTTCTCCCACCTAGATGCAGGTGACCAATCAGGGGTCACTTTTACTATAAGCAGTATGTCTGGCAACAAAACTAACATATCACCTTAATAGGTTACCAAGGGAACAGAGGGAGTTACGGTAGCCAGCCTCCAAGATAGCCCTCAATGATCCCTGCATCCGGTATTCATGCCCTCCCACACTGACTAGAGCTGACCCATGTAACCACTAGGCTACTGGGAAAATGATGGCGTGTGACTTCCGAGGTTAGGTCATAAAAGACCTTGTGGCCTTGCTCTCTTGGATCACTTGCTCTGGGAGAAGCCAGCTGCCATGTTGTGAGGACACTCAAGCAGCCTTATGGAAGGGCCCATGTGGTAAGGAACTGAGGCCTCCTGCCAACAGCCATGTGGGTGAACCATCTTGGAAGTGGGTCCTCCAGCACCATGCCAGCCTTCAGATGAATGCAGTTCTGGCCAACACCTAGACTACAGTCTCACAAGAGACCTTGATGCAGAACCACCCAGCTAAGCTGCTGCCAAATTCCTGAGCAATAGAAACTGAGATAACAAGTGTTTGTAGTGTGAAGCCACTAAGTTTTGTGGCAGTTTGTTACTTAGCAATAGATAACTAATAAAAAGAGTTACCTGAAGGTCAAGTTCTCATTCAGTAGGTGAAAGGGTTTTGTGAACCCTTTGCCCACTCTGTTCACTTAACGAAATGCTTGATGAATAAAGAATGAAATGAGCACAAAAGTGCCCAAGAGAACTTTTGTTTGTTTTACTGCATGAAGGAATAAAACAATGAAAAATAGGGAAAAGGAAATTGGGATAATTGGGATGATATACCAGCAGTGAATATGAATAAGCTATAAACCAAACAACAAAAAAAAAAACCAAACCCATTGCCATCGAGTTGATTCCGACTCATAGCGACCCTATAGGACAGAGTAGTACTGCCTCACAGGGTTTCCCAGGCTTTCAATATTTATGGAAACAGAATGCTACATCTTTCTCCTGTGGAGCGGCTGGTGGGTTCAAACTGCCACTCTTTTCAGTTAGCAGCTGAGTGCTTAACCGCTGTGCCACCAGGTTTCCTGAATGAGCTATACCTAATTGCAACTATACGGATTATTAGTAGTAGCATACTGCTGCGTGAGAAAAGCTAGTCCGAGAAGACAAAATATAGTAAGACACCATTTGATAAAATTTAAAACTAAACAATATATTATTTAGATATAAATATATGTGATAAGACAAAAAACAAAAAGGCAAGGGAGTGATTAAGTACAAAGTTTAGGATAGTGGTCCCCCCTGGGGACAGGGAGGCAGGGGGACTGGTTGAAGAGAGAAGCATATTGGTAAATGTAAGTTGTTGGTAATATCGGTTCATGTGTATTCCTAATACTACTGAAAAATAAATAAATAAAAACAAACAGAAAGGGCCATGCATGTTCCATGGCCTAGAATTATGAGGAGCCCAATTCAGTAAACCTGAGGTCCAATAAGAAGGGGTGACAGTGACCAGAGTTAGTCTAAAGCCTGTAAAAAGGAAGGAATGTTGTTCAAATTTGAAACACTGACAGTTCAGCCTGAAGTGAAGGCGGGTGATCAGTGCGATGGGGGCCTATACGCAGAATGGATGATTTAGGCTATTTGGGAGTAAAAAGCAGTGTATTTCAGGATACTTTGACTGTTAACATATGAAAATACTGATAAATTTCATACCCTGCTGATAACCTGATCCTGAGACCAGACTGATGATGAGCCAAAAGTATGCGCTATGACTGGGGTCTGGGAAGCCCTCTGCCCCATAGATGATTTTGTTCCTTACTTCCCTTGTCAACCCCATGGAGTTCTCTATTTATGTTGAGAGCCTCTCACCGTAACCCTACTCTCAAAGCAATCTTTGCTTCTTGCCTGTAATGCTTAGATACAGCTGGGGAAGAGGGAAGGGGTTCTGAGATTCCTATCTGGGCCAAGTCTCCATGGGCCTAAGCCATGGACTTGGTGACACATGAGCTTCTCCTAGAAGCACCAGTTTCTTCATCCATGTATATGGAAGGAGACCTGTAAACAGGTAGGAAATGTTAGGTTTGTAGAAATCAGCATAGAATTGGAGTGAAATCCCTAGAAGAAAACACAGTATCTTCAAGGATACGAGAAAAAAGAAATAGAAGCCAGAGTCTTCATTAACTTCCAAGGGCAGAAAGTGATGGGGCAAGCTCTGAGAGAGTCAGAGAGAGAACAATATTTCAGCCTGGGCTGGCAAAGACTAAACATAGCATCTCTCCTTCCACTTCTGGGCTGCTGCACCTTGGTGTAGCTTGGTGGTGTGACCCCACTGCCCTCCCTCCGTCCCCAACTCCTGACATGCCAAAACCTCCTGCTTCTCTCCCTACTGTCCTGCTCCCTCACACTCTCTCCAGAACTTCCCACACAATCTGAGTTTCCTCTGCACTTGCTGAATGATGTTCCCATACATGAGTCTGGGCATCCTCTGACTTATGGTCAGGAGCTATGGCAGCATGAACAGCACCAGGAGCTGCCCTTCCGTATAGACATTTGGACTCAGCCTATTACGGCAAAGCTCTTGGAGTGTGCTGAGAATCTCACGGGCTGTCAGCATCACCTAATACGAGATGGGTGGAGCAACGAGCTGCATTTCTGGCCCCAGTGTCTTTTTCCACATTCTCCATCCCAGGTCCCTCTTGCTCAAGTGGAGCATGGGGATTCTAGGTTCTTAGGTCCTCAAATGCTGTGATCATTATTCACTTGTCACAGATAGGTTCTGTGGCACTAAAACACCAAGAGCTCTACAAATTCCTCATGATCCTGCTTTAGGGCCACTCCTCAAGTATAACAAATTACTGTCAATGGAGATAAATGACAACCGTTGTTGGGAGCAGATAGAAAATATACAGAACGCCAGTTACTATTGGAAGTTATCAATTAGAAAGGGAGAAGAAGCTACCAAAATAATGATAGTTATAATATCTTAACAATGGACAAAACTGATTGACAATCCTATGAAATGGAAGGAGTCACTGGTTAATGCACTTGGCTACCAACTGAAAGTTGGACGTTCGAGTCCACCCTGAGGCACCTTGGAAGCAAGGCCTGGTGATCTACTTCTGAAAAATCAGCCATAGAAAACCTTATGGAGCACAGTTCTACTCTGTCATACATAGGGTTGCCATGAGTCAGAACTGATTCGATGATAACTGCTTTTTTAAAATTTGTTTGTTTTTTTATTAGTACTTCAGTAACTAAGCTATCCTGAATGGAGTTCAAGATGGATCCTGGTACTAAATTTTAATCTATAATGTTAGAACAAGATTGTAGTGAGTGTTACTTAATGTATACACACATCACCCTTAAATGGTTTTAAGCTACATGTTATTTATACGTTGAGAAAATGTTAATTATAACTCACTTAAGTAGGCCCTACTTATGAACAAATTTCCTAGGTTTGCCACTAAGAAGTCCTGAATTTAATGAACTGTAGAATTTCCACTTGTAACAATTCACACTTTTCCAAATAATTATTTTTATTTCATAAATAATTACATACTGATAATATTTGCTCAATAATATTGAGAGATGTTATCACCATATATAATGTATGTAGGAGGAAGGGCAAGGAGGGTGGACTATTTGTCCTTTTTTAACTGTTCTAGGACTTGTAGTACTTCACTTTCAAAAAGCAGATCTGAAATGCCTTGAGAAGTGAGAGTGTCTTTTGAGCAGGCCTGTGCCCAGGTGAATGACTTCTTTATGCGAGCTTTTCCCAAAATCTGTTCTGGGAAAAACCACGTTGGAAAGATATTAATAGCGTGTTACTTAAAAGTTTTTGTGATCCAAATGCTTGTGACACACCAGGTTAAACAAAGTTAAGCAAGCTCCATTACACCGAACTGCAGGGCTTCTCAGAACAATCTAATATCCTGGTATTAACCGTTTGTTGATAAAGAGACTACTTCAAATCCTAAACTTATTTGTCCATCTTTTATTTCCCCCTTAGGAACACATTATGGTAAAAGCCTCTCTGTATATAAAACATTTCCAACACAGCTTCTCACACTTAGTGTCAGCAAAGGATACCAGTTTCACAAATGAACATACAGGTTTCCCTGCTATCCAAAACTAGAGTGTGCCTATGAAACCTTTTGTAAGCCGAAATGGCATTAAGCGAAGAAGCAATTAACGTTAATTTTTATGGGAAAATTTTTTGAGCATTCCCACACCCAAAAAATAACCTACCAAATCATACCAAATAATATATAAAACCTAAAATAACACTAGCATACAGTAAAAGATTGAAGTTGTCAAGGATTTCATTTTACTTGGATCCACAATCAACGCCCATGGAAGCAGCAGTCAAGAAATCAATGCACTGCATTGGGCAAATCTGCTGCAAAAGGCCTCTTTAAACTATTGATAAGCAAAGATGTCACCTTGAAGACTAAGATGCACCTGACCCAAGCCATGGTGTTTTCACTCACCTCATATGCATGCGAAGGCTGGACAATGAATAAGGAAGACCAAAAAAGAACTGACACCTTTGAATTATGGTGTTGGCGAAGAATATTGAATATACTATGGACGGCCAAAAGAATGAACAAATCTGTCTTGGAACTACAACCAGAATGCTCCTTAGAAGCAAGGATGGCGAAACTACATCTCACATACGTTAGACATGTTACTGGGAGGGACCAGTCCCCAGAGGACATCATGCTGGGTAAAGTTGAGGGTCAGCGAAAAAGAGAAAGACCTTCAAGGAGATGGACTGACACAGTGGCTGCAATAATGGGCTCAAGCATAGCAACGACTCTGAGGATGGCACACGACCGGGCAATGTTTCCTTCTGTTGTACACAGGGTCGCTATGAGTGCGAACCGACTGGACAGCACCTAACGACAACGTAGTAAAAGCAGGAATGATATGATAGCTTACATAAAGTAGAAGCTCTCAGGGAAGGAGCTTGGCGGTGACACTCCCACTGCTCCAGGTGAGCGCTGCCGGTTAAATAGCTTGCTGCAAAACAGATGTTGAACGCTATTTCCTTTTTGTAACAATTCTCTTCGGATTTCTCTCGGTTAGCGAAAACAGGTACTATTGTAGATCTTTCGTAAAAGCCAAGTGGTGGAAAGCAAACTTTCAACAGCGGGGGGATACATGTATAGCGCTAGCCAATCTTTTTAAGTGGGACAGGACAGCAGACATAAACCTCATTTTAAAACTGAGGACGCTCCAATTAAAGTTTAGGCAGCTAGCACGTGTGGAAAGTGGCTCAACTGGGAAGAACCCTGGCAAGTATTTTGCAAGTAATCTAAAATCGCATGAGTCCCATTCCTCCTTGACAAGAGAGCCTGATTCTAAACCTTCACTCTCCTTTCCCACACAGAGGACATTCTGACCCCTTCCACCCAGGCACTTCTTCTCCTTCCCAAATTTCTCATTCTGCTTATTCCCATTTTCTCCAATCCTTCTTCCAGGTCCGTAGTACGGCATCGTTTTACCTAACTTCTCTCTCCCATATCTGGCCACAAATAGTATACATTTTGTATCAGTTGACTTTTTAAAATAGGCAAGTTGGGCTTCTCTATCTCAGATACACAAAAACGGGCACTAAATTATATATTTTAAAATTAGGGTGTCATTTTCATTATTTCCCATAAGCCGCTGGCCTCGAGTAGTTATAAAAAGCAAAAAAGGGCACATCTCGGTCTACTCGAAGGGCCGATCCAGAGGCATCACACTTCGGAAAAAAGGACCCCGGCTCCAAGGGGCTCAAACTAGCCCCTCCACGAAGCCTTCAGTCCTGCGCACGCGCAGCCCGCAGTCCCCGGGCCGGCATTTTGGGGCCTGCGCCCATCCCGCACACCCTTCCGTGAGCGAGAAACAAGTGGACAGAAAGATGCGGGACGAGCCTCCCTCCCGTTGACTTCCCCTCCTTCACCGTACACGCGATACAAGGACAGATCCGGAAGTGGATCACTGAGGAGCCGGAAGTGGGCCGCCTCAGGGAAGCGCCGCCGGAAGTCCGACATTAGAGAGCCTGCGTTTCCTCTCTAGGAGTCTGGAGGTTTCCATATCTCTATGTTCTGGCCCCAGCCAGGCCCTTCCGCGGAGGTGGGAGGGGGCGCCGCGGCTACGCGGGCAAGAGCGCTGGTCAACCTCTTCCGGAGCTCTTTCCTATTCCGTCACGCTCCTGCGCACTTGGGGGCACCACCAGCAGAGGTTTGGGGATTGTGGGTATCACGTTTTTTAAAAATGAGAATACAAGAACTCCGTAGGCGACTCCAGAAAGGGTTTCTAGCTGTTTTTTTCCCTAGTGTATGTGTACATGCATTTTTTATTGCTATGAAGTCTAACTGTCATGCAGTAGTACAGCAGAAACAACCCTAAGTAATTAAAATAATAATAATGTTTTATATTTGAAGTCCCTTTTGAATTTGAACCCCAGGCTAGGGGTGGGCCTGCTCTCCTGGTCTCTTTTCACAGACTCCGCCCTTCTGTCCCCCAATAACGCAGGGATGAGGGGGCCCCAACTGGCTCATCTGATTGTTAATTCAAAGGTTCATGTTAATCCACTTTCATCTACTCTCTTACTTGGATTTTCCCCTCTAAAAAAGAGAAAGGGGGAAACTGTACATATACAGAACTTAAGAATCTAGTAAAATTTGAGTGAAATTAGAATTGTCTAGGTTTAAAAAAATTTGATAGTACCCAATGCAAAGAAAGGTGTAGTGAAATTAGTCAATTCTGGGCAGAGCATAGGGTCCTCTGGGTGGTGCAAACGGTTTGTTCTCGACTACTAACCTAAAGGTTGGCAGTTCAAACCCACCCAGTGGCACCATGGAAGAAAGGCCTTGGCAACCTGCTTCTGTAAAGGTTACAGCCAAGAAAACCTTATGCCGAAGTTCTACTCTGTAATATGGGTCAGCATGAGTCAGAATCGACTCCACCACAATGGGTTGGTTGGTTGGTTTTTCTCTGGTAGGACAGAGTGTAAATATATACACTTCTGTTGAAAAACCATTTGGCATTCTGTATCAAAAAGTGTTCACACTCTGACCCATGGGATCCCATTTGTGGAAGATTTATCCCAAGCAAATAAGCCAAGAGAAAAGAAAAGCATTTCTGAAGCTGTTCTCTAGTGGACACCTGTTGTTTTTGCTTGATTCTTCTTTGGGAAACCAGCTAGCTCTCAATCCACTTCCCGGTGGGCACATGACCCAGCCCTGGCCAATCAGAATATCCCAGCATACCATAGCCTTATCTTCAGGAAGTCAGGAGCCAGACTGCCTGCTCCCAGTCCTGACTCTGCCTCTTAATGGCTGCATGGCTTTCAGCTTGTTCATTAGCCTGAGAGTCAGTTTACTCATTGGTTGCATGGGAATGTTAATAAATGGACACCTACCTCATAGGGTTTTAGTGAGGACTAAATGAATAAAGCACATAAAATGGTGCCTGGTATGTCATACCATTATCTCCTACCTCCGTACCTTTGATCAATATTTTCCCTTCCTGGCAGGCTCCTTCCACTTTTCTTTTTTTACTTTCGCCTTCCAAATCAAAACCAAACCTACTGCCATTGAGTCGATTCCGACTCACAGCGACCCTATAGGACAGAGTAGAACTGCCCCATAGAGTTTCCAAGGAGCGCTTGGTGGATTCAAACTGTCGACCTTTTGGTTAGCAGCCATAGCTCTTAACCACTATGCCACCAGGGTTTCCAATTTTGCCTTCCACATACTCCAATATCATCTATTGCATTATCCCAGACATTTTATATCTTTCTTTCCTACTGAACTTGTAATCCTCTGAAAGGAGGACCATGTCTTATTCACCTTTGTACTTCGGGTGCCTCACACAATTCCCACCCCAGAAATGGTGCTCAATAGTTCGTTGAACAAAACGGAATGCTCTCTAACACAGAGCAGACAATGTTGGAACAATTAATGACAATGTCATAAACCATAGAGGACAAACAAACAGAAATAGAACCACATGAAGTTAGAACAATTTTCTTACAAAACATGGCTTGACCCCTAGGGATTGCAGATCTCACTTCTTCCCAGCCCTGGGCTCGCTCCCAGGTGGTGGGCAGATGAATTCTGGGAAAGACTGACACCTAAGGTCCACTTTTTGAATTGCTGCTTCTTTTTTCTGCCTTAGAACTCATCTCTTCCCACGAGGATTGGCACAAGAAATGAGATCTGGCCACTTAACTAAGAGCGCAAAATAGAGGAGTTGGGACTTTCAAAGGTGGCTCAGTTTGGGGTAAGGACGAGGTTCAGTATGTGGCCATGGAAGTGAGTGACTGATGTGAAACAGAGCAAAAGTCACGGGAAGGAAGTAGGTCAAGGGTCTGTGAGACTCAGGAGTTTGGTGGGTCATCCACTATGACCTTGAAACCGCCCAGGATGAGGGCAAGAGGAGGATGTGGGTAAGGTGCCCCAGTTCTGGGGAGACATGTGGAGGAAGACAAATGAGAGCAAAATGAGGACTCAGAGTGGTAGAGCTGAGTGTCCGAGGCTCAGAGGAGGATGGGTTTAGCACAAAAGTGGAAGGGCAATGGCTTGGAAGGGGCAGTGGGAAGCTTGGAGGACTCCTAATCCAGCCGGGAAATAGGGATGATGACCTGGGAACAAAGCAAGCTCCCCTGTAACGGAAATGCCTTTTGGCATTTAGGGTATACTTCTGTGAGGCCTGTGTTTATGAGGAGACAACAGAAGGAGACAGGACAGCAATGGAAGATAGACGGGTGGGGAGACAGGTAGAGTAGGGTTAGGGTAAAAGACTGTGATAAAGTCATATAAGCAGTGGTCGCTGGGTCGCGTTTGTACCTGTTTGAGAGAGCTGACTGAGTGCATCTCTTCTGAATTCCGGTTCATTGACTCTGTTCAGTGACATCACCATGGAAACTGGCAAACGCTACAACTCAGTCTCTTCCTCCTCCCTACCCTGCTTAAAAAAAAAACAAAACAAAACCAGAAAACCTCTGTTCACACAAGTCACCACCTGGCCTTACCCTGACGAAGCTCATTGAGTAGGAGGGGATGTAAGATGTGTACCAAATATCTGCAACCTACAGAGGCAGTCGTGATTACTTGGTAGAATTCTCACTTTCTGTGTGGGAGACCAAGGTTCAATTCCGAGTCAAGGTACTTTATGCGCGGCCACCACCCATCTGTCAGCAGAGGCTTGTGTGTTGCTACGATGCTGCACAGGTTTCAATGGAGCTCCCAGACTAACACAGACTAGGAAGAAAAGTCTGGCAATCTCCTTCTGAAAATCAGCCAATGAAAACCCTATGGATCATAACAGTCCAACCCCCAACTCATCAGGGGATGGCACAGGACCAGGCAGGGTTTTGTTCTGTTGTGCATGAGGTTACCATGGCAGCTAACAACGACAATCTGTAATCCAGAGTGATGTGTGGAAAATGCCACAAGTGTGACTCAATGCCAAATAAGTGAAGAGGAGGGAGGCACCCCCTCAGAGGCGGGAGTTGACCTGGTGTCTTAGGCTGGGTTCTCTAGAGAAGCAAAACCAGTAACATGTACAAATATATATATATATATATATAGAGAGAGAGAGAGAGAGAGAGATCTATATCAAGGAAATGCTCACGCGGTTGTAGAGACTGGAACGTCCCAAGTCCGTGGGTCAGGATAGAGGCTTCTCCTGACTGACGTAGCCACAGAGGCTGGCGAACCCCAGATTGGCACGCAAGACCGTAGGTAAACTGCTAGCTCAAGTCCCAAGGACCATAAATCAGATGAATAGGAGCCAGCTGCAGGATCCAGAGCAAGCAAAAAGCCCACGAGCCTTGCCAGAATGTGCACTTATAGTTGAGGCAGGCCACATGCCCAAGAAAACTCCCTTCCAACTGATGGGCTACTCACAGCAGATCCCATCATGAAGGTGATCACATTATGTCAAATCTCATCATGGAAGCAATGACAACATCATACAACTGCCAAACCACTGAGAATCATGGCCCAGCCAAGTTGACACACAACGCTGACCACCACAACTGGGTTCTGAAGTGGGGGCAGCAGAGGTAAGATTTCATTTGTCAGAGATGTGAGGGAGGGGATTTTCAGCAGAACAACTGGCGAGACAAAAGACCGAGTGGTGAGAAAATCCAACATGTGCTGGAGAAAAGCCCATTCTGGCCTGGCTAGGTAAGAGAGTTCACATTGGGTTGCAGAGGAAGTCCAGCTGAAGAATCAAATAGGGTCAGACTATGAAAGAATGAATGAAAGAATGAACTTTATTAAGGAGGTACCTGGGAGCC